CGATGAATATGGGCTGGGCGGCACCACTAGTGCCGCCCAAATATTTTGACCCCAAAATGGGAATTTGAAGCTCTCAAATCTTTTGTAATTGGTAGTTACATCTTTCAATGGATTTTCAGCTGTTAAAAACACATTTCCAAATCATTCTAAGGTTGAACCATCTAAAGCTGAGTGCCCAGAAAAAAAAAAACCTGAGACTTTGCGGCCTGAGAGAAAACAGTGAGAGTAGAAACCCTAGATCTAGGTAAAACCCAGTGTTTCAAAACGCGCTAGGCGGGACCTAAGTGGTCGAGTGGTTCCAAGCCGCCCAACGCCTAGGCGAGCGCCCAGAACCTGGGCGGCCAAGTAAAAAAATATTTGTTTTTGAGTTTTCTCTCTCTAAAATAGCCTCTAATACGTTTTAGGTTTCAAATAAACCTAAAACCCACAATTTTGCCCTTTTAGTATTAAAAAATGACCCAAAAATACCCTCACAGAGCTTCATTTCAACCCCTAGGTGGGGTGGAAGCCCTGGGCGCTCGCCTAGGCAGGTTCAGGCAGGCGCACAGGGATATCCACTTAGGCGGCCGCCCAAGCGCTGGGCGGTCCACTTTTTGAAACAGTGGCAAAACCCCTAGCAAATCTTAGCCATTAAACCTGCAACCTTGAGATTAAGAAAAACCATTCAACCAAGCTAAGGCTTGGTCAGCATTGAAGAGAGACACGGAGGATCCACAGCTGAAATTACAGTCGCGGTCCTGATACAGGCGAGGCCTCGGGCTCAACCAGGTATTCTTTTATCATCTTTCCTTGACATCGTGAGAGTGATTTTCCATTGAAGATCGCTCAGATTTGAACCACAAACTCGTTATTTAAGAGTGAAAGAGCGTGGGGATCAATCGAATTCTAAACTAAGGTCAGATCTGTTCAAAGGCAAACAGATCTGCTCTTAGATCAATGGCAGAGCCAATTTTGATCCAAATTGCACAAAATACTAATTGAAATGCGAATGAAATCCTAGATCTAACAAAAATAATAAAGGAAAAGAGGATAAAAAAATACCTAGTCGAGCCAGTTGGCCCGGTAAACCAGAGGCTTCGAGGCCTCGCCCGTATCAGGACCGCAGCTGTAATTTCCGTCGTGGATCCTCCGTGTCTCTCTTCAATGTTGACCAAGCCTTGGCTTGGTTGAATGGTTTTTCTTAATCTCAAGGTTGCAGATTTAATGGCTAAAGTTTGCTAGGGGTTTTGCCTAGTTTTAGGGTTTCTACTCTCGTTGTTCTTCTCTCAAGTCTCAAAGTCTCAGGGTTTTTTTTTGGGGCACTCAGCTTAAGATGGTCCACCCCTAGAATGATCCCGAAATGCGTTTTTAAAAGTTGAAAATCAACTGAAACACGTAACTACTAAATTCAAAAGATTTGACAGCTTCAAATTTCCGTTTTGGGGTCAAAATATTTGGGTATCACCACTAGTGCCGCCCAGCCCAGATTCATTGAATCTGGTTAGGGTTGGTTGGGAAGGGTCCAGAACGTCAAAGGGTCGGTTTCCAAGTCAAAGGGGCCAATCTGGGTTCGGCGGCACAAGTGCTTCCGCCCACACAAAATCTGTCCGGAATCAAAAGTTTTTTATCCTGGGGTGATCTATGGGGCCTTGATTTGTCTCCTGCCAAAATTTGGGTTGAAAAGAAGTGTTCTACTATGTTTTGTTGATTTTGTACCAAAAATAGGAGTTATACATGATCTTGGACTATGGGACAAGGACCTATGGACGATGGCAGTCTATGATTCAAGGATTCTATTGAATAGTGTGGTCCTAAGGGTTCAAGAATACCACAGAATTTGCCAATTTTAAAATGGCATGTCTACAATCATAGCTTTAGATTGCTCTTTGTCATTAAGATGATTTTCAAAGACATTGATGCTTTGAACAAAGTTTTGCTTTGTTTTCAGCAATTAGCCGTGATATGGATGAACTTAGTGCAGCGATCATCATCCTTCAGCCATTATTGAACTTTGGTGCAAAAGGATCTCCATTCTAAGACAATATTGTACCAACACTTTAGCCTCCCGTCTATGTTTATGATCCTCCGAGGTCAGCACCCTTTTCTTCTTCTATTCTATCAAACTGAACTAATCTTCTAGTAAGGTGATTATCTTGGCTTGGAAATTTGGATATTCCCAAAGCACTCTCTATTCCAAAAGTTCAGTCTCTACTTCAACAATTCTACAACCCTGCCCACCCCTCAACCTTACCCAACGGGAAATACACATTCAAAACACCAGCAATCTTTTCCAAACAGTTCCATGTCTTCATAAAACAGTCACCCTGACCCTAATAACCACCTTATCCTGCAGAAACCAACTAATGTGTCTCAGGGCTCAGGTTTCTCATGTAAAACACCTGATTCCTAAACCAAGACACTGACTGATGCAGGAACCATTCCCACCTCAAATAATGCATTGTCATCAGGTCCAACTCCGATATATGTAGGTAAGTGTAGGGTCCCTACGATTCATCCGGAGGGCTCACATTTTTAGCATGAACACTCGAATAGGAAGGTAGTTTCTGCAAGCCCATATTATATATTTGACCAACAAAAAAACAGTAATTATGAAATCCACCATGCAATTTTTCAATTGCTTGCGAGACAAAAACTCCCAGTATATGTGTGCATGCCCACATATTTCAGTATATCATTATGTGCAGCCACTTCAAAGTTCAAAGCCATGCGCATGCGCATATGCTATACCTCGCTTAACATAATTATATGCAGCTAGTCCATGGTTTATAAAATATATGTATGTGCATATCTGTGTTATGACATACATGTCAGGCATGTTTTGGTGTGTCTAACATGGTTCTCAACACATAAGACACGCCACAAGATGCAGCTCAAGCACATCTCAGTATGTTATACAAATTTCATATTGACGTGAATCTCTTGATGTGTTCAACTTCAACAAGCATTTCCAAATGTTGGACATGACTCAAATATTTGGAGACCCTGGTCCAGCATTCACGAGCCAATCACTTACACGTGTTCAGAACTCCGGAAACACATGTCCGTACTATTGCACACATTTGTCTCTAATATGGATATGCATGTTTATATTTGTTTAAGTTATTATATAATGAATAACTCACAAAATTTTATAAATAGATGTGCAAGTGTTCGGCCAATACTTTATGAGCAGCAGCATATGACACAGCATATCCATATGTGATGCAGGTCACGCATCCATCTCCTTGTAACATAGATGCATATGTATGTTAACACAATTCTTCAGCAAATGATTATTGCCGCCACTTCAAGACAAATAGAGTGTCTAGATCATTCTCACTATTTTTTCCTTGGGAGTAAAAAATCCCTCCTCTTTTAATCTAT